ATTCACTGTCCCTTATGTTAAGCTGTATGGGGACGGTGTGAGTGCAGAGGAAGAGACTGAGGTGTAGGAGACGGTGTGCTTGTTCAGTGTAGTCCCTGCCTCTCCCTGCGGAGGAGGATGAGCCCCTGCCCTGGTGACGTGTGACTTGCTCTAGGCAATAAAATAGGAGCAGAAGGGATGGGAGCCCCTGCTAGGCAGGCTTTATGAGTCATGTCATGAGTCCTCGTTTTTCTCTTCCCTCTGCCTTGAGACCAGCACTGTCCCAAGACCTGGGTTGATCTTCAGCCTAGGAAGATGTGGAGCAGGGCTGAGCCAACCTGATGGCGTGTTATGTGAGCAAGAGATAACCCCTGGTTGTAAGCCGCTGAGATCTTATGTTGTCAGCACGGCATAACTTGGCTTAGGCTGATTGATACGAAAGACACTTCCCTTGTGTTATTAAAAAAAAAAAAAGGATTGTTTTTTAAAAAGATGAGCTAATGGTACACCCCACCCTGCCATATATCCTGGCCCTTTCCCACAACTGGCAAAGGCAGGATATATCCACATACAGCAAGAAAACTCAAGTGCAAAGATAAGCACATGGGTAATAATCAACACACATGATAAAAGCCAAATTTTTAAAAGGGAGACCCTCCACTCTACAGCCGATGAACTGCTGGACCATTTGTTAATTTTGGTAAGTGGGCCCCTGTAGAAGGAACTCCCCCAGGGCTTCAGGGTTTAAGGCTGATGGCTGTGATACTTGGTGCTGACGGCTGAGATTTAACCTCACTGCATTTTCACTAGGATTGTTCTTGTTTCACAAGTGATCCAGTTACAAATGTCCATTGGTTTTCCGTGGTCGGTGTCTAATCCTAATTTTCTCCTAAGTTCCATTATTTTTAGGGTGTGATTTTGCAGAATACAAGGTTTTTCAGAAATGCACATAATGTTATAACTAAAATACCTGTATTGTAATAGGTAACAATTCCCATATACAAATTTAAAATAAACAAAACCCCCAACTTTGTCTCCACTCCCCCCCTTTCCCCATTCAGTCACCTTGCACATACACATGGGGTCAAGAAGAAGTGCAGTCAAGTGGACAGAGCATGGTCTCCGGACTCAGACAGAACTGCGTCTGATCCTTATTCTGACAGCTACTAGCTACGTTCACTCGGATGACGTTATCTCCCCGAGCCTCCGTTTCCTCGTCTGTAAAATGGAGAGAGGGTAGAGGAGAGGAACTCTCTGCGAACAAACTCAATGGCCAGTGGCCGAGTGTCCCAGAGGGGACACTGCCCACAGGACAGCACTTTTCAGTAGGGATGAGGCATCCCCTCTGTGGGTGCCCAGGGCCCTGGACCAGAGCTTCCAGGGCTGGGGCCAAGGCCTGAGGATCTCTCAGAGCCCCCCAGATGACATGATGCCTGGCTGTGCACACTGCTGTAGAGGGTGAAAGCTCCTTGAGGACAGCTAACTTCCCTCGTTCTGATGCCACACACCATAAGAACTGAAGGCATGGTACCCATGGGGTGAGAACGCCTGGGTCAGGGGGACAGAAAGTCTGGTCTACTTGATAGCGGCAAATAGGGAAAATTCTATGTTTATTCAAATTGCTAAAACTCACTGTACCTCAGTTTCCTCATCTGTAAAATGGGAATAGTAATAGCACCTATCTCATAGCACAGAGTTGCTGTGAGGATTATGAGATGGTGTATGCAAAGTGCTTAGAACAGTGGCTGGCCCAGAGCAAGTGCTAAGTGTTTGCTGTTAGTATTGTACATCAGGCTCTTGTGAGGTTGGTTAATGTGACTCTGCCTTTGAAAGCCAATGCCCTGTCAGTGTGCGTAAAAGCAACTTAAGAACAAGACCCCAAAGAGTGGCTAATTTACTAAGGTACATATTACCTCGTAGGGACCTTTCTGGGCAGCCAGGGTCCTTCCTTAGGTGATAATATGCATGCCTCACCTTGCCATGTGACTTAATATTTGAAACTGCAGGTAAGGATTATATGAAAAACTGTTTCAAATGCATAACAAGTGTCTAATATACAATCTTCCCTCAATCAATGGTAGCCTTTGTCTTTCTTCTCAAGCACCATAAGTCTTTGAACTGTCAGACGGAAACCACAAATTGGGAAGGGAGTGCCTGACAGCCTAAAGAGACTGTGTTGCTGGGCGAATTTTGACTGTAAAAGAACCTACAAAATCTAATTCCCCCACTGAGTTTCTGGGTTGAAATAAACTCAGCAGGAGACTGTAGTCTTACCCATGAATAATGTGACTGAGACCCAGGTGACAGAGCCTGCGCCGGGGACGGAAGCGTCAGCACTGCCTCTTCTTCCGCTTGTAAAACTACTCCTTGTCCTCCCAGGTGCAGTGCTAATGTCACCTCCTCTTTGAAGCTCTCCAGAACCCCCTGAGGCCAAGTTCCTCAGGCCCCTGCTCGTTCCCATGGCATCGTCTCCATCTCAGTAACCATGTTCCTGTCTGTCACCTCCATGAGACTTCAGCTCCTCCTGAGCCATAGTGTCACCGTGTCATAGTGACCTGTATCTACGCTCAGCCAGCACAGTGCTTGGCACACAGTAGGTGCTCACAAGATGCTTGTTGCTACATTAGCACAGTAGGTCCTGATTTAACATCATTGAATTAATGCAGTAGGTCCTGATTTCCCTCATGTTCTCCCCCAAGCCTGGAGCTAAGGCAGGTGAACCTTCAGAGCCCTTCCAGAGGCAGAGAGACGAGCGAGGCCAAGCCTGGGGGAAGGTGGCTGCCCTCCCTTCCACAGCTGCCTCAAGAACATGCTTGTGGAGCTTTGCACCACGAGGCTGGAAGGCACCTCGAAGTATCTAGAGGAATTGGAAATGGCCTTGGGCAAGATATGGTGACACCAAACATTATCCATTCAACAAACACTTATCAAGTGTCAACATGTGCCTGGCCATGAATAAGATTCAATTTCTATCCTCACGCATCTTACAGGCGGAAATAGACCATGGTAACGATGGTACCGTGTGACAGGTGCTGGGACAGGAGGGAGCACAGGGCACCACGGGAAGGACCAGGGAGGAGAGGACCTTGAACGTGTGGCAGGAGAGACAATGTCCGGGCTGAGAGCCAACTGTGGAGCGTGCTGCTCTGGGGAGGAAGCATCTCCTGTTCCCACAGCTGGAGCATGAGGGCTGCTTCCTTCCCGCTCAGGAGGGGCACCATTGGGGGTAACTGGCAGGAGCATGTCTACCATCTTCCTGGGAGGTTGTGGCCTGACTCCTGGGCCCACCATGGTCTTCCTGACAACTGCAGGCACCCGGAATATACCTGCACTACCAGGTAGGGGCTGTCCTATCCCCAGCAACCATGAGAGACGTTGCCTGGCCTTTCCATGGCCACAAGCAATGGACGCACAGGATCTGACCCTCTCCTCCCCTCGGTTGGCCCTGTCACCCGCCTCGCCTCTTCTAGGAAGCAGAAGAGGCATACAGCAAGTAGACAGAAACCCGGAGCGCAAGCTCTCCCTTGGTGTGAACAAAACCCACTTTAAAAAAGAAATAAGAATTTCCACTGACAATTTTATTATTACAGCATTTTGAATGAAGCAAAGAATTTAACAAAATATATAAAATATATATATTTTTAAAATCACAAACAGACAATAGATTTACAGAATTGCTTTTCTGATCATCTAGAAAAGACAAAAATGTTCATTTAATAAACTGCACTTGGGCGAGACCAGCCGCTGGGCGACAAGTGTCAAGCGGCCATGACACTGCCTGAGCAAGCTCTTAAGAGTGGAAGAGACGAGGGAGCCACGGGGGAGGGGCATGGAGGGGCAGCTTGACCCACAGCAGAGCAGAGCCAGCAGCCTGGCCAGGACGGCTGGGCAGGGCAGGGGGTAGGTACCAGGAAGCAGGGGCATGTCAGCTACTCTGGCCGCGAGAGGAATCGCCATGGCGGGAGAATCCTGAACGGGCCTCCAGCAAGCTCCTGCGAGTGTGCACACACGTGTGTGTGTTCACTTAAATCAACTCATCCTTAACTCACTACACTAGCAGATGGGTTTGGGAGGGAGTCATCTTTGTGTCTACAATCATATCAGGGAGACCCGGGCGCGGGGGGGGGGGGGTGTTGGCTAACCTATCCAAGCAGTTTCCCAAATTAAGCAGGGTTCAGCCCCGGCGAGGAGGGGAGGCGGGGGGAGGGCTGCGGCCAGGAGCGCGGGAAGGCAGGGGAGGAGGCGCAGGCCCCACCCCGAGGAGCTCAGACTCTAACACGGGGGAAGACGTGTGCTCGACGGCCGCGCCACGCGGCTCACCACGGGCGCGGCCACAGTGACGGAGATGTTCCTGAGTGTGCGAGATCAGGGTCGGGTTACAGGAATCCCCGGGATTCGAGAGGGGCCGGAAGCGCCAGGTAGGATGTTGACGGCAGAGATGGGAGCCGCGTGGGCGTTCCCAGCTGCACAGAGGAAGCGAAGGCCCCACGAGGGACCGTGCGGCGCAGCCGGAGGCAGCCCTCGCCCGAGCTTCTGGAACCTACAGGGAAGCTGTGGGAGATGAAGCTGGAAAGGGATCTGGAGGCCAGGCCACGTGGGTCCCGAAGCAAGGAGTTCACACTTAGGTTGGATAAGTAATAGGGAGTCCTTCACGAGCTCGTTGATACTCTCACTCACTCAACAAAAACGGACTGCGTGCAGACCCTCTGCCCGGGCTCCCCGGTGCGGGCGCGCGGGTGAGCAGGGCGCCCCTCCCCAGGCCGCACTGCCTCCGCGGCGTCCGCGGCAGGAGTGCGCCGGGCTCAGCGCGGCCAGCCCCGGGGGAGGGCGCGCCCCGAGCGAGGCACGGCGGTGGGCGGGGGTCACTCCGCGGGCGAGGGCCGCCGGCGGGGTCAGTCACCGAGAGATCCCCGTAGCCAGGCCCCGCCACGTCCTCCGGCAGCCGGCACCGGGGACGGAGGATCCCTTCAGCGACTGGGACGGAGGGCCAGAAACGGGCTCGGAGAGGACGGGGAGGCCCGTCACGGGTCAGCGCGCTCGGGGGACTGGCGCCCGTCGCTCCTCTGGTCTTCGTAGTCGCTCCTCTGGTCTTCGTAGTCGTCCTCCGCCTCCTGCCCCCTGGAGAGCTCGGCCATCTGCTCTGACGGCTCCCGGTAGGCCTCGCGATTCCTGCGGGCGGGGGGCACAAAGTGGAAGGTTTGCCCCCCTTCAGCCTCAGGGAGCTGGGCCCAGCTTCTCAGGGGAAGAGCAGCCATCGGCCCCGCCACCCCCACCGGGAAAGCTGCAGAGGGACGCCAGGCTGAAGGGGGCGCTCAGAGAGGACAGCCGGCTGGTGCAGGCCAGTTCCCCTCCGGAGCTGAGGGCCCTGGGGACAGGCTGGCCGCACCAGCAGGAGGGACGGCGGCCCGAGGCTCTCCCCTCACTCAGCGCCCGCACCCCCGGAGGCCCCCTGAGAGCAGAGACGGAGACCCACGGCCCGGAGTCCGTCCCGGGCCTGCAGTGCGGCTGTACCAGCCGAGCGGACCCCTGCTCTGTCCTCAGCTCTGACGCGGGGCCGTCCCCCGCGGGCGCCCTGAGCGGAGGAGGCCGTGCGGAGCTGGGGCGCGTCTCCCCGTCTGCTCACACCCGCCGGCACGTCCCCACACTCACGGCCTGTTGTCCTCGGCGTCCTGGGCCTCGCCCTTGGCCCGGCAGCAGCAGCAGTAGGCGAGGATGCCGATGAGGATGAGGGCCGCCGCCACGCCCCCCGCGATGCCCGCGTACAGGGCCACGTTCATGGAGGCTGCAAGGGACACAGCAGCTGCACCTCCCCGAGCCCCAGCCGCAGCCCCTGACACGAGCCCAGGCTCCGGGGTGAGCGTGGCTGGGGAGGAGGAAGCAGCAGCCAGGATGGTGCGGTGGCGGTGGGGGCCCTCCCAGCCTCCGGGCTGCCACAGGCTTTCTCCCGGCCCAGGTGGCAGCTTCTGGTAGCATTCCATGAAAGGCAGGGCCTTGTAGGGATGTGACCAGATAGGGCTGGGGATACTCTTCAGGATGGAGGCATAGATGAGGAAAGGCGGGCCAATGGCTTTGCATCCCAACACTCCATGAGCTACCCAGGCTCCGAAAAAGTCCTCAGCTGTCAGCCACGCCAGCTCCTACTCGAGCTTATCCCTGAGCTGGTCGGAGTGTCCACCTCAAAAGGATGGGATCCAGACTCCGTGGCAGCTGGCTCTGAGCACTTCCCTCAAGCCCAGTGAGTGGTCCCAGGGGCAGGCCGGCCTGAGGCAGTCTGCAGAAGCCGGTCCTAGGCGCTACTTCCAAAGAACCAGGGGAGTTGGACTGGCCTCCAGACGAGGGGAGCCTGGGACAGGTGGTCTGGCTGAGGTCACCCCAGCCACCCTGTCAGTGGGGGACCCTAAGGAGGCTGCTCAATTCACCACCAAGGTGGTCTCTCTCAACTGACCCCAGCCAGTCATCTTCTGGCCTTTGTCCTTTCCTCCCCCCTCCTCTCCCCCCTCCCTCCCTCCCTCCCTCCCTCCACCTCCAAGCTGCTCTTACGAGGTCTGACTGCCAGGGTGATGTTGCAGGACTGCGACCCCATCTCATTGCTGGAGGTACAGATGTAGTAACCCGACATGTCTGTGGAGATGTTCTTCAGAGACAAGGTCTGTCCTGTGATTGGGAAGGAAAACAGTCAGATGAGGAGACGGGGCACGTCTCAACGGTCGAGTGAAAACTGCTAGGGATTCGGAGGCCTGAATTCCTGGGTAGGCGCCAGCATGGCCCCTGGACTTCTCCCAGCCCCATCTGTAATAGGGACAAAGTATCCAACCCCAGGCTGTAGGAAGATTAAACCGGGCAGGATGCACAATTCTGAAGTGCTTAGAATTCAGTTAGCCTCCCTGAATTTGAAGCCTGGTTCTGCCACTTATTAATTTTGTGACTTTGGGCAAGTAACTTAGCTTCATTGAGCCTCAGTTTCTTTATTTATAAATGGAAATAATAATGGTGCCTGCCTCACAGGATAGCTGTGAGCATAAAATGAGGTGCTAATCAGTATAAGCCCACAACAGAGTTCCTGATATGTAGTATGCGCTCAGGCAACGTGATATATATTATGTATTACATGACAATGCTTTCTAACTAGGACATAGTAGTATAACCGCTTTTATGATCTTCAGAAACTGAAGCCCTTAGCTTGGACTCATGAGGAAGATTTCTTAAGGACAGCTTAAGAAATCAAGAACTCTGATGTCTGGATTTTTGTGCCATGAGTGGTGCCTATGTGACTGTGTATGTGTGTGTGGGTGTGTGCGTGGTGGGTGGGGTGGGGAGGAGGCAGGCTGTCAGTCTAGACTTCTCCTCTTCCATCTTCCACCACTGAAGTTGTTACCTTCTTTGAGCCATAGCTCCCTCATCTGGAAAAGGAGTGAAGACGCCTGATCCTGAATTCAGGGATGGTCCGAATGTCCTCGTGAGAAGCCTTCCTGCTAAATCTATGATCCTGTGAATTTTTGCACCTTGAAAAGTGGAGCTTTATGCTTTGACATATTTATACGTCCTGTCCTCACAGATGCTTTGTCATAACTGCTATTTTGAGAGAAGAGTTAGAGACCTTTGTCCTCTAATGTGCTGCAGAGCCAGCCTCATATGGTCCCTGCTGCCACCAGGTGGTTACACTCCATCAGAGAAGGCCTTCTAAATTGTTACTAGGATCCAGTCACTGCCCTGTGTGGACATTTCAGAAATGGCCCATAATCTTCAACAACAAGGCCAGGCTTCTTACCATGGCCCCAGGGTTACAGATCTGGCCTGGCAGTCACTCCAGCTTCCTCTGGTGCTGATTCCTCTGTGTCCAGCCCTCCTGCCCCCACCTCCACTCTCTTGCAAGACTGTGTCTCAGTGTGGATACTCCTCGTCTGGATGTGCTACTCAGTACACTTCCTCAAACATGATGTCCTCTGATTCTTCCAACAGTCTTGTATGGTAGATGGGACAAATATTTCAATCTCCAACGTCAGAGAGGTAACTGGAGGCTTAGAGAAGTCAAGTGACTTGCCCAAGGTCACAAAATTAAGACATGACAAAGCATAACAAAAATCCTCTTTTAGGTCCAAGACTCCCTGGAGTGGTTGGCAACTTTCTTTTTTAAAAAATTGTATAATAAAAGCAATGTATACTCATTATAAAGATTTATACATGACATAAAACTATTATTTCAATCAAATCCAATCCAGACAATCTTTATGTGTTGATCACATTGGCTCTAACCAGGATGAAGAGGGTCCCTGCCCTCTTGGCGTCCCCAGCTACCAGGGAAGACAGAAGCAGTGGCCGTTACAAGGGTGACTCGAGTTCACAGTGGAAGTGCCCTGTGAGTGTAGAGCAAGGGCATTCAGTCTCACCCGAAGGGTCAGGGAAGGCCTCTATAAAGAACAGAGAATAAAATAGAAATCACCCATAATCTCACCAGCTAGAAATAACAGCTGGTGATTTGGGGTTATTTTCTTCCAATCTGTTCACATGTGCTTTCCTCAGATTCTTCTCCTGAAACCAGGGCACTGGGCTCGGGGTGCTCATCCTCTATGAAATGCTGCCCCTTCTAGCCTAGAATTCCATACCGCAGTGTCTTTTCTGGAATACTGCTTACATGTGGTATTAATATATGGTACTGAGAAAGGGGTCCATGAACAGAACAAGGTTAGAAATCACTGAGTTAGGGTAAAATAAGCTTTTTAAGGATAGAACTCCGAGAGCTTCTAATATGCTAATGAGCACGGGGCGTCTCTAACAGTGGTTATGGCATTAATGGTCTCATTTTCCAAACTAATTGGATTTTTTTATTTTTAAGAGGCATCTTGAAGGAACACACTTTGGGAAATGCTCTGTGACCCTGGACATACTCAGGGGTGTGTGGCCCTTATCAGATTACCCCACTGTAGAGTGTGCAACTCAGTGTGTGCCCGGTGTACAGCGCACCCTGCAGGCAGATCAAGGGCTGCCTCCTCCAGGACCTTCTCGGTGATGGGAGCCCGGCTGTGGGCGCCGGGCCTTGCTTAAGGCAGAGGAACATGGGGCTTCCTAGTCCAGAATTAGCACTATCCTCCCCCAGTTCCTCGAAGCAAACAGAGGACATCAGAAGCTGCTCTGAGATTAACCAGTGCCTATCCAGCGCCACAAGACCTGCTTTGATTCTGAGTTGGGACTCCAAGCCACTTTTCTTGGAAAGGACCTTATGGTTCTTGAAATCCACCTAGAACTAATGTTTCTGCTGCAGTGGCAACACCTTGTGGTCAAGAAGGGAAATGCACAGGACAGTCAGCTCCCATTCTCCCTCTGCTCCTGCAGGGAGATCTCCCTCCCGAGAAGCTCTGGTCCCCTAGAGGCACTGAGTCAAGCTGACAAGTTTTAACTTTCCTGCTGCCACTCCCTTCCCCAACAATAAGCTCGAGCTGCTACCTCTGGCCTTCGAGATCCTCCCTGGCTGCTGGGAGCAGGGCCCATGCTCACCAGTCAGAAGCTCCTCCCCTAAAGTGTTCCAGGCCCTCCCTTCTTCCTTGATACCCAAGTTCCTACTCCCTCAGTGCACGAAGCTCTGCTGACTGGGACAAGGCTTAAAAGGATGTTCAGAGCTGTCACAGGTGGGATCTCCTCTTATCCTCCTCACAGACCTCGGGGAAGGTGGTATAATGATCATCCCAGTTTTTCAGATGAAGATACTAAGGGTCAGAGAGGCTGTGAGTGACTTACAGCTGCTAAGTGGAGAAGTGAGGACTCAGACCTGGTGTGCTGACTCCAGATTCCCTGTTCTTTTCACTGATGGCTTGCTTCCACCGATTGCTAAGTCAAAGGAAGCAATCTCTAATGTGGGAAATTCTGTCTTCAGATGTAAGAGGGCAGAGGAATCCCGCTCTCCAAATTGTCCACTGTGGACTGAAATGTTTTAAAGGTGAGAAATGGATTTGGACTGACCCCCAGGGGAAGAAGATGTGATAGACTCTCCAGGGCGCCATGAGGCAGGATGGGGACCAAAGGCTTTGAGAACCACTTGCCCTACCACGCCGTTCGGTGCAAGCTTGTGTGGTTATCACACTAACCACACTCCCTCCTGTCACTCCCAGATCCCGAGTCAGACTTGGAGCAAATGTGAGGCAGGGTAAAGCTTTTCCAGCACAAGTGAGCGAATCTCCTTTAACTTCCTTTCACGTCCTCAGGTTTCTCCTCACTGGAAAACTAAGTTTGGGCCTCCGACAACCCGAGGAGTCTTGCCTGGCGGAGGCGGGCGGGCTGTAAGTGGGCGCCCATTCGCAGTGCTCCTCCGAAGGCCCGTGGCCCACAGGGCAAAGGCCAGCCTCCCACCCGAGGCACAGGCTCTTCACGGTCTCAGCACCGCTGTTCTTCCAGCCGCATCGCCCGTCCTTCTGCGCACGGGCTCCCCAGCTACTCACCATTCCTGCACTGCTCTCCAGCCCCCCCGCTTATCCTTAAGGATCCAGCTCACGCAACAGCCAATAATAGCCAACGCTAACTGAGTGCTCACTGTCTACCAGGCACAGGTCTCAGTCCTTGACATGTACTTTTAGTTGATCTTCACAACAATCCTATGAAGTAAATACTAGTTTTATGCCCATTGTACAGAGAGGCACAGAGAGGCTAAGTAACTTGCCAAGGTCACAGCTAACAAATGGCAGAGCCAGGATTCAAGCCCATGCTGTGCTCTTAGGCAGCATACTGTACTGCCAGCTCACATGCCCCCTGCTTTGACCCCCTTATGAAACCTGCTTTGACCCCCTTATGCATCCTCTGGTTACAAGACCACTGGGTATAAACTACTGTAGCGTTCACCACCTTGTAACCTTCAGCTTTGGGCCCCCTGCACACACTTTACAGGAAGGAAGGTCAGACCAGTGTCCATGGCAGACCTTGGTGACCATTGCTGGAGTCATTGGGTTCTTCACAGGCCAGAGAGGGGAGGCCCCAGAGCCAGAGGAAGGCTGCCAGATGGTTTGCACAGAAATTCCAGATATGCTCAATAAAATTTGCCAGCCAGAAATATATCAACAAAACTGGAAGCTTGTTGAATTCAACATGACATCTATTTTACATTAGATCGAGTGGGTTCTATTAATCCCCCCCCCCTTTTTTTTTACTTTTAAGAAGTTCTTGTTTTACCATCAAATGAGTGAAGGGCAGAGTGACAGAGTTCACCCTGGTTTGAGCGAAACCCCGATCTGTGCATCCATCGGGCTGGGCTCCCCAGGACCTGGCTGCTTTTCCCTTGCCCTCCTGTCCAGTCTTCTCAGAATGGCGGTCTGCACCGCCCACTCCACTCTTCACCTCCTGCGTCCTCCTCACCCACACTGACTGAAAGAGCTCCCACGAGTTAAACCAACAGTCACCTTCAGGCCTTGTCTTTCTTGAGCTCCAGGAGCACTGGGCGCAGCTGGCTGAGCAGCTGGTGGGCACTGGGGCCCAGGAATTCCACCGGGGTGTTCGCACTCCAGTTGGCTCCAAGGCAATGACAGCAGCATGTTTATGTAGCCTTTTTTTTCAGTTTGTTTCCTGACCAAAAGGTCAAATACCAAGTTGCCCAGGACAAAACTGGTCTCCTGGCCACCATAGCTGAAAGTGTCATCCTCTTCCCTGAGAATGTGGGACCCTTCCTGCAAACCTGGTCCATGGAGTTGGTGTGGCCGTAAAGGGGGGCGTGTTTGCGGAGGTGGGGTTCAGTGGAGTCTGAGATGGACCCACCTGGATAGGGAACAGGAACAGGAAATTCCCACTCTTGGGCGGAGCCATAGCCTTCGACTTGGGGCCTCAAATGTGCACTCCAGGACATACTCATAATCAAAGTTAAAATCCCCCCAGTGCTTTGCACAGAGTGGTTATCCACACACACTCGTTCAAGAGAACTGAGTCATTGGGAGTAAAGAAAACAAGTTTTCCACTGCGGGCTTCCACTAAGTGCTCTAATGAATAACGTCTACTTCCCGCAACCACCTATGAGGTGGGTATTATTATGAGACAGTGGTGCTTAGAGAGATGATCCAAGATATCCCAGTGCCACTGCAGGGCGGGGGATGGGGAGCCTTCAGGGGACCTAATGATCAGCCCAAGGTCTCCCCTGGCTGCCCTTGATGTGGGGCCCATCTTCCCGCTGACCCTTACCTGCTGGGGCTGGCTGCTCCTGGTTCAGGACGCTGTAGCGCTTCCAGCTGTACTGAGGGGCCGGGGAGCCCTCCTTTGATTGGCAGGTCAGCTGGATGTCGTTCCCAATCACGGTCTCTCCCTCAATGCCGCAGTCTGGTATGGAGGGGGGCACTGTGTAGGGGAGGGACCAAAGAGAAGGCATGAATCAGGTGGGGCTTGGGGACAGCCACTTCCCACAAAACACACACACATACGGCCTTGTTTGTTCACAGGCAGAGAAATCCATAGCCTAGTGGTGAGAAGTAATGTTATAAGATCAATATATCCTCAACGGCCTGTCACCATCACAGAGAGGCAGCATTTAGAGTTATCACCACCATAAAGATGGAGATCCTGAGGCCCAGAGAGGGGACTTGATAGGGGGCCCGGCTGAGCTGAGAGCAGAACCCAGGTCTTCTGACTCCAGATCCAGTGCTCGCTCCACCAGCCCATGGAGTTCCCTCTGACACTGACTCGTCTGTGCCATTTTAGGTAAATCCTTCAGCCCCTTAGTGTTCCCACGTATAAAATGAGAGGACAACAGACTTTTTCTGCAAAGGGCCACGTGGTAATATTTTAGCCTTTGCAGGCCATGTTATGGTCTCTTGTCACTGCTGCTCCTTTTTAATAACCTTCAGAAACGTAAAAGCCATTCCTAGCCCGCAGGCCATACAAAGACAGGCTACGGGCTGGTCTGGTCATAGTTCGCCTACCCCTGCGTTAAAGCCCTTCAACTCTAACGTCTCTGGAATGTTCCCCTTGGGTTACGCATTACCCTCTTCCCGAGCTGTGCTGATAAAATGCAACTGCCCGGGTGCCTGAGTGAGAGGAGAGACCCCAGGCTGCAGCAGAGTTGCATGCTGGGTGGAGAATGAGGAGTGAAGGGGTGGGAGGGGACAGAGGGGCAGAGATAAGGAAAGGGAAGCCCACAGAAAGGAGTTACCAACAGGTCCCCTCAGCTCACAGTCCTAACCTGATCTCCCAGAATTCCTGAAGACCGTAAGCCGATGCCTGTCACTCAGCCCTGTTAACACACCACTGTGTGGAGTGGTCCATTCTACACACTTTATTGGGTGCCTGCTGTATGCCTGACACTGCTGGGCACTGGGATGACATGGTAAGTGAGTCCCTGTGTTCAAGGAGTCCAGTGGGGGCAAAAGACAAGTAATTGTACCATGACCAGGCAGGAGGCGAGGCTGCTGGGACAGAGAAGGCATGACAAGGGACACCGACCCAATCACAGCGTGGGCTGTGACCTGAAGGAAGAGCGAGAGTAAACAAAGCCAATAGTGGAGGTGGCGGTGATGGTCAGAGAAAGAGAGGTGAGGGCACTCTAGGCAGAGGGAAGAGCGTGTGCAAAGGCTCTGAGGCAAGGAACATAAAGTATGCCTCAGACTTCAGGCAGTGTCCTCGGGGGTGGGAAGGGGAGGACACACAGTGCAGAGGGCTATTACTGGAATCCCTCAGTGGCAGGCCTGTCCCCTCTGCTTCTTTCTTGACCTGCCCCCTGGGTGGTTTGCTTGCCCCAATAAGTAGTGCTGCCCACTTTACAGCCCAGATCACACAGGTGAGTGGTCACTGAGCATGGACAGTATATTCCAATCTCTGCTTGGCACCACCCAGAGCTGCTGGGGGAGTGGGGGAGCTACCCAGGCACACCTCTCCCCTCTAGCCGGCAGCCTGCAGTATTTCTGCTCCCCAACAGGTAGGCTGTTGGTGCGTGTGCCCCACATCCCCTCCTGTTTTAGTGCGAGCAGCCAGGTGTGGGGTGAGCAAGGGGCAAATTAGAGGCCTTCTCCCAACTGCCACCCCCAGTTGGACAGTCCCTAGACCTAAGAGGCTCAAGGTTCAAGGACAGGCCTCAGGTGTCCTGGCCCAGGCTCTGCGACTGAAGCAGCCTGGGGAGGGAGAGGGGACCTGGGGGACAAGCGCGGGCGAACTCTGCCTCTGCTTCCGACCAGAACCGCTCCAGGTCGGTGTTGCTGAGCCAAGCTTTGTCTCCTGAACTCTCCAGGGACACAGGAACATCCCTCTCCCCCCGCAAAACCGGTGACCCTGTTCCCGGTGCGCCCTCACCAGGACGCTCAGCATTTATTCCACAATGGGAGCGCTGGCCTACAATACAAACCCACCCGAGAGGTCTCGCGTCAACGCCCAGTCACCCTAAGCGTGTAGGACGGGTAGTGGAGCCCCTCCGTGACCAGGCTTCTTGGGACACAAGCCAAAAAGAGGAGGGTCGGGACTGAGGCAAATGAGCACCTGGAGAAGCATAAAAAGGAGGCTGACCATAACCGAAGACTAGCTGTGCTTAGCCATTTGCTGAAGGAAAATGATTAAAAGCAAATCCTCAATTCAGTCCGGAGGCGGCAGTGGAGATCACGGCAAACAAGGGACCAGCCACCCCTAGCAGACCAGCCTTGCGGAGGAATGTGTCAGGTTCCTCACCTCGCTCGTCCAGACGCTCCCTGAGGCTCCCCCTCAACCCCACCACCCAAAGCGGCGAGGACCTTGACAGACAGCTCGAGTCCAAATGGCCCTCCACCCACCACGGGGGTTGCCGACCTGCGGGACAGGGGCAGATCTCGGGTTCTCGGTTGGCTGGCCCAACTTCCCAGACAGAAAGCAGACGCTACGTGAATATTTATTGGGGGCGGTCTGATGGGGAGGGAGCAGGGGACTAAGGGCTCCAAAGCCCGCGACTCCCGCCGCAGACGTCAGGGGGCGCCAGAGGCCGGGAGACGGCCGATCCCGCCTGCAGCGCTGGTCCGGGGTCCCAGGGCCAGGTGCTTCCTCGGGGTGACCAAGAGGGCGCATGCTCCGCCTCTGTCCGCGAGCTCCCTGCTCGCCTCAGTTTGCTGTGAGGTCACCCAACCCGAGTGGGCGGCCCTGTGTAATTAAAGCCCTCTGCCTAAAGATAGCCTAGCACCAAAGCCGCTTGGAAAGAAAACTTTCTTTTTAAGATTTTTACTGGAAATGTTAACATATAGTACAAAATGATCTCTCTCTCTCCCCTTCCCTTCCTCTCTCTAAGCAAAAAATTGGTTCCATAATCTCAGATTAAATGTGCATCCTTTGCCCTTGGAGTTAACTAGTTCCTCTCTTAAAATGCAGCTGGCCCTGAGAAGGGAGGGGGGAATCCGACATTCACATTCACATTCACCGCGGAATCCGCTGCCTTCCCCCCAACCAGCTTGTTGCCAGAAAAAATGGGAGCTACTTCAGGGAAGCCAGAAGGAGATAGAATTAGCCAGAGGAGGACCAGTGGGGAGAAGAGAGGGACTTGGCGGGCGGTGGGGGGATGGCGGGGTGGAGGCAACCAGGGCAATGGTAGGGAGAAGAAGAGCAGCAGAGAAACGAGATAAAAATGCTCATTCTCTTGGCTTGGTAATATCTCTCCAAGGACCTAATGGGAATAAAAATTAAGTGCTACGCACACAAAACAATTTGTTGCAACCTCATTTATAACAGCTTTAATTGGAAACAGCCTGAGAGTCCAGTCCGGGGCCAAGGGACTCTGCCTCCACTGGCTGGAGTGGCATGGAGCGTAAAGAGCAGTAAGTGCTAAGGCAGCAGGAAGTGTTGTGTGATGTGGAATGAAAAGAGAAAAGTGCCAACTTGCTGGATGGCAAACTCAGTCATGTACATAAATACCTGATGGAGATGGGCGCCGGAAGAAAGGTGGAGAAATAGAAAACCTGGTGATATGGGTGAATGTTTTTGTTTAGTTTCTTGTTTTTTTCTTTAATTAGTACTTTTAAAGAGGCAAGTTGTCACCAAACACAGCATTTGTCTATTTGTGTTTGGACTAAGATTACTGTGGCAGGAACGGAGAGCAGAGCAGAAATAGGCTCATTCTACCATCCTTCCGGGCATTAGAGGTCTTGACTAAGGAGCCCTCGGCAGGCAGGCAGGCCCCCTGACTCAATGGAGCCGGGGAGAACACCACAGCACGGCACTCCATCTAGAGGCTGGGGCAACTAAAACACAGCTGTAACAGTGCTAGAAGAGGATCAAGTGCGATGGTGACAGCCTTGTGCATGAGATGACAGGGGTGGAAATGTTCTGTAGCACTAAGACCATCAGAGTTCCCCATGAAAACCTGGCAACAACCGTCCAAGCTCTCATAGGCCAGCGTGGCTGCAGTCTCCCAGACCCTAAGCAAAGGCCTCAGTGTGGAAGAACGGTTATAGAATCTCAGTTATTCAGTGAGTGAGGTGCCCAAGATGTGGGGGTTCTGGGGACAAAGGAGGGCAAATGGGCACATCCAGGGCTGGCACAGCTCTGCCCCTTCAACCTTCTTTCATTGGCATGGGGGCAGGGAAGGCAAAACACGTGTTAACACCATGGTGAGATAAAGCATACCTGGCAAGCTCATGTCTGCTCTAGAGTGAAAGAGAGGGGACACGAAAAGTTTAAGTCAACCCAGAGAGTTTGGGGACCATCCGAACCGGACTGCTTGTTGGCTGGGAATGGCAGGCTCACATGTGGAGCAGTGGAGCGGTAAAAGGCTTTGGATCCGGGTAGCCCTGTTTCTATCGACGCTTGAAGGCTTTCTAGTGGTCATTTAACCTCTCAGTGTTCCCTTCTATTAAACATGAGTGTTAACACCCACTTTCACAGATGGATTGCAAAGACTGAATGAGATTGTATCTGTAAAGCACTTAATGAGATGTCTGGCACATAGTAGGTCCTCAATAAATGGGAGCTATTATGATTAAGAATTTGGTGTTATCTGTAATAACTGTCACACAGGCAAAGGTTATGCAAGTTGATGGTAGTTTTCTCTCTATTTAAGACAGATCTCCTCGGTTTGCAGAGCAGGAGACTGCAGAGAGCGCGAATATTTGGCTACCTGGGATGGGTGCAGCATTGTGAAGGGGATTCCCTGTCTCCTTCTACACAACCAAATAGACACCAACGCTCCTCATGTGTCCACAGGAGGCCTGGAAGTCTATCATTAAAGATTCCTTGTTATTGAAGGTTCTAAAATCTGATATATCATCTTCTTAGATGAGAGGACTTAATATTTTTTAAATGTCATTCCTTTGCAAATTAATATGCAAATCGAATATAATTGCAGTCAGCTTTTTTTTTTTAACTAAGCAAAGTGATTTAAAAATCAACATGGAAGAATAAATGTGTAAAAATTGACAAGATTTTTTGGAAGAGTTTAGTAAGAGAAGATATTACACGGTGCCGGATATTAAAAGCCAACTGATAACACACTGATAACTCTAACTAAAAAAAGATATCAACACTGACTATAAACATACTGTTATCCAAACCATATGATATCAGCTTAGGAATAATCCAAAGGAAAATGAACAAAATAAGGAGTAAAAAACCAGCCATGTGTAGGTAAGAACTTAATATGTGACAAGGTTGGCATTCCAGTGGGAAAATAATTGTTTCTTTGGTACAATAAATGATGCTGCTGTAACTGGCTATCCATTTGGAAGAAAACAAAGTTAGACTCCTAGCATCCTACGTACAAAAATAAACTCCAGATGAAATAAAGGTCTAAGAGTAAAAAATAAGACTTACAGATATAAGAACATTAAGTTCATTTTTTATAACCCCCAAGGTGGTGGTGAGAGACAAGAGACCCCAAATTCATGACAGAAAACATCAACAGGATACAGAATGGGGCTTTTCCCGTGTCTCAGAATTTCCACTAAAAACTCTAGGTTGAGGACCCAGGATGGTAAGTGTCTTCGATACTAAGGAGAGGCACGAGAAACATCCCAGCAGCCGTCCCAAGAACAAATCCTCTGGTTATCAGTTACCCTCTGCCAGCCCAGAGAAGAGAAGGCTAGTGAATCAGTAGCGAAGAGATTTCTTTGAAGAGAATTCTCAGGAATAGGGATCCATTTCCCCTCCTTCTCTTGGGGGAAGGGGGGGAGGTATCTGCCCCCATCTCGGGCCAAGCCAAGGAGGCACCGAAAGAGTCCCTCGTGGAGATTGGTGCTGTCTCCTACTGGGAGCTGGCGTCTCTCTCTCCCTGAGGCCTGCTGGGTAATGGGAACCTGTAAGTTCTCACAGTGCCGTTCCTGGAGTGTGATGATGGAAGGGCTTTACAGGTGTCCCTGGGTATCTGGGGACCCACCCGAGGGCAGACTCTGGCTGCTGCCCCTTGCCCATTGAAGCTGGCTGGAGCAGGCTGCAATGGCAGGGTGAGGAGAGAGTGCAGCAGCGAGAGGGGTCTGCCCTCCCCTGCTCAGGGTTTAGCAGGGGTAAGGATCAGGGCTGATTCATGTCACACTGAGGGACTCTGTCCCAGGGAGCTATTTGATGGGCCAAGGGGAGCCCAGGTGGACGTTGGAGAGAAGGTGCGAGTGGCCATAAGAAGAGGTGGGGTGGAAAAGGCTGGAGGATGTGAGAGTCCAGCCAGCAGGTGCACATGCTACTTGTGTCAGGTGGGAGTCCCTGGGGGTCTGAAGAACCTCCTAATGCCCCCACAGAAGAAGCAGTCGTGGGATGTCTGCTGTGGGGAGGATGAGTTGACAGCCAGGAGGGGGCTGCACAAGGCCTGGCGGGGGAGCAGCCCTTGCGTTTCCCCTTTAACTCGGCCACCACCTCGGAGGAGCCAGAAACCCATGTAGGAGGAGGCAGGCTAAGGAGAATGTGGAAACAGACCCAAGCCCTCATTCCCTGCCACTGGGCCCCAAGCTTTAGGGGGTCAGCCCAAGCTGGGGAAGGGGGTGCAGCCTATTGGATATTCGATTAAAATTTTTTTAGACTGCATTGAATTTTTTTCACCTGGCAAATTAACAAACCTTACAGAGGTTAAAAAGATTGATAACATTCTGTACTGGTGAGGATGTGGGAAAACAGGCATGGTCATGTAATGCTCATGGCAGTATAAGTTGCATTTGGGAAAGTAATTTGCCAGTATGGATTAACATTTGATGAAGGCATAGTCTTTGACCTAGAAATCCTACTTTTAAGAATCTATCCAATAGAAAACAAAAACAACACAGTGAAAGAATGTGTGTGTGTGTTTATATATATAGTAGTATTGTTCATACAAAAATATGGAAACAGCCTGAATGTCCATCAATATGGAACACTTGAGTAAATCATAGTACATCCGCGTGATGGAATGTATGCTGTTAATAGGTAGATCTGTATGTATTGATCTGGAGAAATGTGCTTAAAACATTGTTAAGAAAAAGGAAGTTCCAGAGTGATCTTTATAATATGATCTCTTTTCTTTTTCTTTTTTTTTGTGTGTGTGTGTGAGGAAGATCAGCCCTGAGCTAACAACCATGCTAATCCTCCTCTTTTTTTTTGCTGAGGAAGATCGGCTCTGAGCTAACATCTATTGCCAGCATGGCCAGAGAAGCGGTGCATCGGTGCACGCCCAGGATCCGAACCCGGGCCACCAGTAGCGGAGCACGCGCACTTAACCGCTAAGCCACTGGCGGGCCAAAATTAACAGAGAATTTTTTTTTTTTAATTTTTTTTAATTTTTGATCTCTTTTCTTTAAAGAAAAGGAAAGAAAGAAAAAGAAAATGTGCGTGCACATGTGCATGTGTGCGTGCACGCGTGTGTAAGGACATGGAGAGAGGTGTGCAGGAATGTACACTGTGCTCCCATTGAGTGCCTTGTCAGCAGTGGAGTGGAAGGAGGAGACAGTCAGTCCTTCCTTATTCAGGGCCGTCTTGTTTGACTCCGTAGGATGCTTCAAAAAGCCAGGCAGCCACCTTATGCAATTAAAAATAAAATCCCACGAAGTAATGTAAAGGGAAAAAAAATAAAGGAAAAATGATCCATCAATTTTCTTTAAAGTGCTGCTCCCTCCCAGGGTGGCCATTTCCTGTACTGGACATAAAGTAGGTGCTCACTAAAGTGCTTCCAGGAACCGTCTGAGTTAGGCGCCTACTTGCTCTGGGCCTCATCTATAAAGTGAGGATACTAAAGCAGATGATTGTCTAGATCCTTCCAAAACTATAAACTCCAATCAGAAGTTATTTGTATGAAAAGAATGTCATCTTGGGACATATTTGAAAGGCAGTAGACCCTGATCAATGGTGTGTCGTTGGGGCCCAGGGGTGGGAGACGGTGACGTGAAGGGCTTCTACTGATTCACTGAATTGATGACAGGGAAAGATGCACTACCTGTCAGAGAGTCATGATGTGGCCCTCAGCATCAAAGTGAGGCACTGTGACAGTCTTTACAATAGGCCCAGGATGTCCCTTTTGCTTCCCTTTAATAAGTTTGACGTGAAAAAGAGAAGAGTTGGTGTGGGGGAAAGAACACTACATAGAGTATGGACAGAATCCCCAAGGCTCACCCCCAGGGACTATCCCAAATTGGCCTTCTCCTCTGCCCTGGGGAACTGTCTGCTCTTCGTGGAGAACTCAGCACAGTCTTCAGCTCCAGAGGGAGGAGCAGCACCCGCTGCCTGAGACAGACTGGGTGAGGGGAGGAGTCTTAGCCCCTTGGCAGGCATTGCTGCCCCAGCTTTATCATGCCACCAGGGCACTTCTCCTCCTTGCACCCCCTCCCTGCCCACCCCCTTCCTACCACCCCAGGAAGGAGATGGAGACACTCACCAAGGACCAAGAGGCGGACACGGGACTTGGAAGTGCCAGCCAGGTCTGACAGCAGAGAGACTGAGCACTCGTACGTGCCATTGTCGTCCATGGTCAGCTGATTAATGGTGATGGAGGCGTCTGACTGCTCAGCGTTGCCCGATACATGGACACGGTTCTCATAAAGCTCACCATAGATGTAGGTTTTGGTCAAAAACTTCCAAATGAGCACCCTTTCCTGGAATGAAGAAGAAATACCACTTGGTCTTCATCTTAAGGCCCTGACACGGTGCTTCCAGCCTGTCCTGACTACCCTCATCCACCATTCGCAGGCCCAGATGTACTGACACACCAGCCCCTCAGAACAAACAGCTCTAATATGTGGTGCCCATTTATGGACTCCTTTTATCACGTATATATATATATATTTTCTTTTTCTCTTTTTTTTCATTTGTGAGGAGATCAGCCCTGTGCTAACAGCTGCCAATCCTCCTCTTTTTTCGCTGAGGAACACTGGCCCTGGGCTAACATCCGTGCCCATCGTCCTCCACTTTATATGGGACGCCGCCACAGCATGGCTTGCCAAGCAGTGCGTTGGTGCACGCCCAGGATCAGAACCAGCGAACCCCGGGCCGCCGCAGCGGAGCGCGCACAGTTAACCACTTGTGCCACCGGGCCGGCCCCTATCATGTATATATTTTTTTAATGAAAACATTGAAAGACTGGGGCAGGTAGGCAGTTCCTGCACAGGAGCACATGTGGATAAATCGGCTTTCTCAGATCCCAACACTCACCTTTGTAGCCTCTGGCACCTCTCTTACCCATTCCATTTCAGTCCATCGTCTATTCTCTCTCAGTCAGTCAACGAATATTTATTGAGAACCTACTGTGTGCCAGGTATTGTGCTAGGCAGCCACCCTTGGTTTCCAAGCCCACTCTATTTTCTTCACTCTTGCCTTTGGAATTTATTTATTCATTGATATACTCATCATTTATCAAACAGAACATGGTACTGGCTAACATCACTACTTTCAAGCCAGCCTCAATTAAAATCCCAATTCTGCCACTTACTAGTTGTATGACCTTGAGCAAAATGCTTGACCTCTCTGTGACTTTGTATCCTCTTCTACAAGATAGATAAAATAGTAATAATGCCTATCTCACAGGATTTTGTGAGGATTAAAGTCGATAATATATGCAAAGCAGTTACAGCCTTGCCCAACATGGTTAAGTTTTCTATGAATGCTAGCCATTATTATTACTGAGCATCCACAAGGTTCTGACATTCAAGGATGAATTACTCACGATTTCTCCCTCAAAGAGTAATGAGGGTGACAAGCAACCCAACATGACAGCATCTTATGATTAGCTATGAGACCCCAGAAGAGAAGTGTTACTTCTACACTAGGAAGTCATGGAGGCTTCCTAGAAGAGTTCCCAGAAGCCAGTGCCTTGAATTCTGAGGGACAAATAAGAATCAGCCAGGCAAAGGGCTGGGGGGATTGTGGTGGTGAGTGTTGGAGTAGGATAAATGTGTTTGGCATTTCAAGCAAAGGGAGAACAACGGGGAAAGAGCCAGAATTGGGAAGCAACATGTCAACCCCAAGTGGTTCAGCATGAATGGAGGTGAGTGTGTGAGTGAGGGATGTGAAAGGTGAGCTTGGGCGGGTAGCAATAAAGATCACAGCTGCTATTTCCCGAGTATGTGCTATGTGCCAGGCACTATTCTAAGCACTTTGTTTGTATTATCTCGCTTAATACTCACAACATCGCCATGGTGTAGTTATTATGAAAACACCATTTCACACATGAAGAACCAAGGCACCAGGAGGTTAAGTACCTTGCTCAAGTTCAGAAGTTAACTAGATGGCAGGGCTGGGATTCCAACTGGGCATCTCGCTTCAGAGCCCGAGCTCTGGAGAGTCTATATTGCCAGATCGCAGACACTGTGTGTATGGGACTAAATAGTTTGCATTTTATCCTGAAAGCACTAGAGAGCCATATATTTTAGGAAGTTATCTCTCAACACAGGGCGAGAAATGAATTAGAAAGAGGAGAACTAGTTAAGAAATCAGTTTGGCAATTCAGGTGAAAAATGATGGGTCTTCGGCTAAGGCTGTGGCAATGCAGATAGAAAGAATGGAGTGAATTTGAGGAGTATGAAGGAGTTAGAAGCAGTGGGACTTGGAGATGGATTCAATGTACAGAGGTCAGGAGGGGCAGACCTCAAGGGTGAGAGAGTGTTGGCCTGGGTGTTTGGGTGAATGGTGATGTCATTTCCAAGAGAGGAATCACCTAGAAAGAATGTTTTACGTGTGGTAAGCCTGAAGTGTCAATGGGACACCCAGGTGGAGGGGTTCAGTAGGAGCTGGACAGCTAAGTGCAACCGAGGATGAAAGTTTGGGAATCAATGACATGCAGATGTTAACTGAGCCATGAGCTAGATGAAGCCACTCCAGGTAAATGAGGAGAGAAATGGCAGGTCCTCAAGTTACTTCATTCGGGAAGGTCAAGGAGTGGTTAGAGAGCTAGGAGGAAAAGCCAAGGCGAGACTGCCAGAAAGCCAAGGGAGGAAGAGTCCAAGATGGGAAAGTGGTTGATAGTGGGAAATGCTACTGACAGAAGACATAAGATGAGGACTGAGTGAGCACAATGAATTTAGCAAAAGAGAAGTTGCTGGTGATCTCAGTGGAGTGTGAGGGGCGGAAGGCAGACTGTGCTGGGTAGAGAAGAGAGTGTGAGACGTAGTGCCAGGTCTGATGCCTGCACGTGCCCTTTGTGCAAATTAGAAAAAGGGGCTGTAGTTTTTGGACAGACACAGCCTGTGCCAGGGCACATGAGTTGGCTAGCGGAGTGCAGGCCCCCTGGGCACCCTTGTGCAGAGCATAATCTGCCCAATCACATGCGACAGCCCTGGGAGGGGCCGATAACTCTCAGGGAGCTTTGCTGAGAAGGGGAGGAGCCACCAGCTGGGAGGTGAGGAGGTGTCTTGGCCTGTGGACCAGTCCAAGGATGCTGGTCTTTCCCAGCTCAGCTCTTTTCTGACCCGCTGGCTCTGCCTGGGACTCCTCTTGCTCCAACCCTCCTCCCAACCCCAGCTATCCTCCCTCTTCCATCCTGAATCTCCTCCGGGCCACTCCCCTCGCTAGGACCTGTCACAATAATCTCTGTGAGGGCACAGATCTAACCCCTTTCTCTGTACCCTTGCTTGCTCCCAAGGGGATTGCCTCAAATCCTTTTGAAAGTGAGGGGTCCATCAGTCAACAGAAGAACTTCCGTGGTGACCTCAGCACTTAGAAAAGGGCCTGGCAGCGACCTGACATCTGGTTTGCTGCAAACATGTGAGAGTGAAAGATGTCCTTCAGTTTCTGCAAGCTAAAGGCAGCAGTTTCCCTCTCTGGGTTTTACCCTGGGATTCTGGGAATGGACAGGATGTGTGCCCGTGGCCCAGCAGGGTCTCTTGGGCAACAAACAACAGGGTGCGTCAGGCCGCAAGTTACTCTCCTTCCCCATCGGTCCTGCTGTGCTAGGACTTGGCTGTCCTGGGCCACCCCATCTTTTCTGTCCAGGAAAAGCTAAATGATTTCACTCTGTCCGGGGAGCTAACACTGACCTCTGCCTGGCACGCTTGCATTTGACAAGTAGACCTTACTTTTAAACTTATGCACAGATGCTCCACTTCTTATAATTAAAGAAATGTGAATTTGATCAATCATGAAATTCTTTTTTCACTTTTCAAATTGGCAAGTATCAAACAGTTTGAGAATACTCTGTGTTGGAGACATAGGTACCCTCACTGTGGTTGGTGAAAGTGAAGACTGGCATGACATCTAATGAGAGCAATTTGACATTATTTATAAAAATTTTAAATTCACATATCCTTTGACCCAGAAGTTCCATTTTTAATAATTTATCATCTATATATACTTTATATATAAATATATACATACACATATACCCGGAGACATGCATATAAAGATATTTATTGCAGCATTATTTGTAGCAGCCAGATATAGGAAACAAACCAAATGTCCCTCATTGGTACATATGGTACATTCATAAAATGGAATACTTGGTGCAAATGTTCAAAAGAGAATGAGATAGATGTAAAGGTACTGACATATGGAAAGAGCTCCATGACATGTATTGTTAAGAGAAAAAAAGCCAAGTGTAGAACAGTGTGTACGCAGTATATGTAAACATACATACTCATATATGTACTGTATACTAAAATGTATTGTATTAAGTATTTATGGAGCACTTAAATATGGTAAGGAATTTTAAGAATAAGATTACATCAAGGTAAATAAATGGAGGGTATTCCCAGGGGAGTTTATCTTATATAAGTTTATCAGAAAAAGGTGAGAAAAAGAGTTTGGCCACACCAGTATCTCTCACCACATATACTCTTCTTAAATGTATTAAAATAAATTATAATAAAATACACTATAAAATAAAATTTGGCCAGAAGGAGAGCTCTATGCTAATCAAAATGAATGACTGACTCAAACAATACAATTTAGGTCATTTGAGATTGGTCAACAGAAAGACATTTTAGGGAAGGTGACTTTTTCAAAATAAATGTGACATAATATGGCCCTGCCTGGGTCCAGCATTCACTACTCCCTGCTCACCCAGCCCAGCCTGGGAACTCATGTTTATCCTATCTGCCATTTACTGAAAGATTTTGTAGTGCTTGTCTTCCAAGAGGTCATGGTCACGTCATACTCATTCCCATGATGCCCCCAACTTTTTAAGGATCCTTACCGTATGAGTCCTTAGAAGCTTGTCCCATTGGATAAACCCATCTCGGTCAGTGGCAGAAGTGAGGTAGGTGCACGGAAGGGTAACACTCTTTCCCCGGGCAGCCCGAAGAACACCCGTTGGGGTTTCCACAGAGATGGCATTGACAGTTACCCAGACTAGAAAGAAAGTGGGAAGTAGGAAGGAGAAGTAAATGACATGGGCATACCCATTCATTGCCCACAGGACCTCTGAGGGACTACCCAGTGACATGCTTCCTCCCCCAACCACAGCTAGTCACACTACAACAGCAGTCTCGGCCCTGGCACACCAGCTGTTCTCCCCCAAGGCTGGGGTGAAGACAAACACGTGTACCCTGGTCCACCCTATCCCCATACCGCAGCATCACAGAGAAGTTAAGTGCATTGTGTGGTAGCTAAAAGCCTGGCTTGAAGCCACAGCTCCAGGTCTTACCAGCTGGGTAACTTTTCTCAGCCTCAGTTTTCTCTAGGAACACTAATACTTCTCAAAGTTGGTGGGAGAATTAAATGAGATAATATGTATAAATACCTTGCTTAGTGCCTGGCACATAGAAAGCTCTTGATAAATATTCCCTGCCATCTTTTTTGTTGTGATGATGATTTATTCATCTATTTAACAAATATTTATGGAGCACTTAAATATGGTAAGGAATTTTAACAATAAGATTAAATCAAAGTAAAGAAATGGAGGGTACTCCCAGGATATACGTTTATTAGAAAAAGGTAAGAAAAAGAGTGTGGCCACACCAGTATCTTTCACCACATATACTCTTCTTACCATGTGTTGTTGACTCTCTCCTCCATCAAGAGGTGGGGTCTGTGTGCCCTCCCCTTGAATGTGGGTGGGCCTGTGACTACAGTATGAGTGATGCCATGCGGCTTCTGAGGCTAACACATAAGAGGCCATAAGCTTCACCTGGTCCTCGTGCGATGCTCACCCTGGGAGCCCAATCAGCATTCTATGAGGAAGCGAAGCTGCCCACGTGAAAGGCCACGTGTAAGTGTTTGGGACCCAGCGCCAGCTGATGTCCCTTGGGATGGCGAACATCAACTGCCAGCATGCGGGTGAGCAAGCTCGGCTGTCTCGGGGAGCAGAGCAGAGCTATCCCCACAAAGCCTGCCCATACTGAAGATCTGGGAGCAAAATATACATTGGCATTGTGTTAAGCCACTAAGTTTAGGGTGGTTTGTTTTGCAGCAATAGATGGTGGGACAGACAGTGGCGTGGATACCTGTGGTGAGAACTTTCCAGGCAGAGGCACAGCGAGGGCAAGGCTGCAAGGCAGGAGTAAGTGTGGTCCATGTGAGGAACAGCAAGGAAGCTGTGTGGTGGGAGGAGAGTGAGTGAGGAAGAGAGACAAGGCAGAGAAGTAGAGGGGTCTCAGGTCGCATTGGGCCTTGTAGCCCCTATTTAGGACTTTATATTTTACTCTGAAGGAGGTGGGAAGCCTTGGAGGGATTTAAGCAGAGGCAATATATTTCACATACATTTTTAAAAGATCCTTCTGGCTGAAGTGAGGTGAATAGACAGGAGGGGACTGGGGAACAGAGTGGAAGCAGGGAAACCATGCAAGAGGCTATTTCAAGAGTCGAGAAGAGCCCTGCTGGTGGCATGGGCGCGGGTCACGGAAGCAGAGGTGGAAAGAAGTCGTCCAAATCAGAATGTATGCAGGAAGTAGGGCCAACGGGATTTGATTGCAGTTGAGATTTGAAACACTAAAGGATAAGAGGAGTCAAGGATTTAGCAGCTGGAGGGGTGGAATTTCATTTACCGAGGTGACGAAGGCTGAGGGAGGAGCAGGTTTCAGGGGGACGGGTTTGTCTGTGGACATGTGGAGTTCGAGACGCTTATCAGACATCCAAGTGGAGCAGTTGAGGAGGCGGTTGTGTAAGTCTGGGGTTCCATGGAGAGGTCACGTAAGGCCAGAGGAGGGGGAAGCTCACCCAGGAAGTGCGTGAAGACAGGGAAGATATCTGGGACTGAGCCCAGGGGCACTCCATTGCTTAGAGGTGGAGAAAATGAGGAGCAGCAAAGCTGGCCAGGGAGAGAGGAGGAGAACCAAGAGAAAGTGTTCCCCAAAGGCCACACAGGAAAAGTGCTTCAAGAAGGCGGAGGGGTCAACTATTCTAATGCTGCAGATCAGTTGGACCGGGAAGCTGGGGACCGAAAGACGACCACTGGAGGTGGCAACATGGAGGTGACCTTGGCATGAGCAGACTCTGTGGAGCAGTGAGGATGAAGCCTGGGTAAAAGGGGTTTAAAAGCAAATGGGATGATAGGAAGTGGACAGCCTTTGCCAAAAAGGGGAGAGAGAAAAGGGGCTGTAGGAGCTGAAGGAGTCTGTAGGGTCAAGAGAGCTTTGTGCCTTTTTAAAAATATATGTTTGATGATTTAAAAAATATTCTTGACACCATGTTGTTTGATTATGAGAATGAACCGAGAGAGACTGGGGACAGGAGTGACATCCTTGTAGGGCAAATGAGGCTGTGGCCATGGTGCCAGGGGAGGGCAGGCCTTAGAAAGGGCCTGGGGTCGACCACCCACTGTAGCATGATGTTAGATGATGCAGGTGGGTGGGTGGGTTTGGTGGTAGGAGTGTGGGCTAGTTCTTTTTGAGTGTTCCTACGATGAGGTGGCAGCACAGAGAAGGAAAATGTCTTGCTGAAGACCATCTTTCCTCACCCAGCCCTGAAGACTCCGCTGTCCAATCAAAGTTCCAGTTTGCTGAACACGTTGCTTTTAAAGTGCACATAGCTCCCAGGGAACAGTACAAGTGTTCCAGTCGTTCATACTTTAGTGTGCAGTACTTCATCAAGGGAAAATGAGCCGCCCTTCTAGAAGGAGAACTGAGCACTGAGGGCAATGTGAGCTCCTGGGGCTGGTGTGTAAAGTCAGAGAGTACTGGATATTGGGGGAGAGAGGAACAGGAAGCTGTCAAAAGCCAGCCGTCCCCTCCCTTGTATTTGCATATTTTCTGTATGGTGACCCCAGTGCCACGAGCCACTGAGAATCAGTTCAAAGGCTAGCTTCCTTAGTTGCCCTTGCCTGCTCCAGAAGGTGCCTCCCCCGTGGCCCAGGTTTATCAAATGACCCTCAATATTACCAGTGGTCTTTCCACCACTCACATCTGTCAGAAAACACATTCAGTAGAGTTACTAACAAGTTACCCTTCCAAACCATGAGGCTGTTTGCTTGAACGGGGTCCTCTGATGCCATCTCCCCAGCTTCCCGCTGCAGCGCCCTGCCCTATTCAGACGGGCCGTCTGTATATCCTCACCCATAATCCTGGGTCCTCGTGGCAACTGCCACTGATCCTTACTCACCTAGTCTATCCTCACCTGGACCAGGACCTTTCCCTGGAACCTGGCTCAAGCCTTGTCCTTAGGGTGACCACTCTCAGGCCTCTCCATGACCTGCATAATCTGATTCCCTTCTTGTCTAACACTCGGAATTTGCCAATCAAGGCACTGCTACCACTGGCAGAACCCAGCTGGCCTGTGCACCGTTGGTCCTCCCATGCTGTAGGAGGACCAACGCTGTCCTCCTATTTTATCTGATGGTACTAATTCTCACTATCAAATCAAAGAGGACCACCGAGTCATTCCTTTAGACAATGGAATGTCTAATTACCTGCTCACGCAAGATTAAAGAGATGTTAAGCCAAAAGTGAAAAAAAGGAAAATGATCCAACATATTGAGTCAATATTTCTCAATTCCAGTTAGTCCCATGTTGCGTTAATGACGACTTGATGATACAGGCAACATATAGATATTTGTAGGTTTTTTCTCATTTATTCTCATATTCCCCTTTAGGGGAGATATTTGTATTATCCCCATTCTACCGTGACAAAATTGAGGTTCAAGGAAGTTAAGCGATTTGCTCTATCTGGATCTGAGAGCTAACAAACAGCGGAGCTGCTGGCGAGTCTGTCTGATGGAGGCAGCCCCATCGAGGGCGTAGGGCTGCTGCCCAACTGGCCGGGCAAAGTGCTCACTTTTGCCTGTAGGGGCTGAGCGGGACGGGTATTCTGACTGCACAAACAAACAAAATCCATTTCCTATCTAGTCCCTATCCACATCAAACCCCTGACCCCCATCACAGAAACTCTCAGATGCTTTCTCCAGCCCATCGACAAGTATTGAATATGTGACTGTGTAGAGGCCCAGCTCCCTGCTCTGTTCTGGGAAATAAGATAGATGCCCATAAAGTCATCTTCCCACACTGGGTGAGTTTATGGACCTAGACTGGACTCATATACACAGTAATCTTATGAACAGAACCCCAAGTACAGTATTTTCTCACAGAAGAGAACTCAATGTGGACTTTATGTAGGAGAAGAGCTAGAGCTGGTAACTACGTAGAAACAACACCCACTGTCTGCAGCACCTCCCAGCTCTCAGGTGCCCCACATCCCTGTCACAGCTGAGCCTCTGCTACGTGGAACAGGCCAGATTGGCTGGATTCAGGTCTCTGAAGATCCCCTTCCAGGAGGGCAATATATGCCAATCAACAGTCCTACCACCTGTTCTTTCCTTCTCCCAACTCCCTTCTAATTCAGAATGTCCCTTTGATACTCTTATCCCCATATCTGTACCACTGCATGTTTAATGCACTCCTTCTCTATGACCGTTTCAGGAAGTCGCATGGCAGAGAGCATAAGTGCCCAGGCTCTGGAGCTAGAATGCCTCCGGTGGATTCCGGTTCTTTATTTACTAAATGTATAAACTTGAGCTCTCTGTGCCGGAGTTCTCACTTGAAAAATGGGAATGACATGAAATGTGTACTTTGTTTAGAATAGATCCTAACCCATAATCAATGTCCAGTAAAGTATCATATATACTTTTTGTCATATTGAATCTCTTCTACTTTCTCATCCCATAGTCTGTTGTTGAGGTGCATCCTTGGTTAGAAGTTAATCACGAGAGATAACCACCCACCATCACCATGGGCGAACTGTCAAAAAGGAATAATAATTGCTAATAATTATAACTAAATAATAAATCAATTTTATAGATGATTATAACTGAGTTACAATCATTTTATGTTGATAGATTTGTGAGGGAAGAGATTGAAATGAATGGATGAGAAAGAGCTCATAAAGAAAAGGAGAAAAAAAAATCTGAACAAACTTAGAGC